CCTATACGGGGTCACTATGAGTCAGAATCAACTTGACAGCACTTCACAATAACAACAACAGGCTTTAGGTACTGCTCTTTATAGTCTGCATTTTATTTATGACAATTTCCAATTTTCCTATTCAGACTTTGTACATTGCACGTTAGGGTTATTAATGGATACATGCAGTTGATTCTCTTCAGTTTGACTTGTGCCCCATCAGAAAGTGCAGGTCCCAAAACCTTAGCTCCTTTCACGTTATCACGGTCCAGTCTACTTTGAGGAGGCAGCTCTTCCCCAGTTGTACTTTGAGTACCTCCCAACCTGAAGGGCTCTTCTTCCAGCACTATGTCTGATAATGTTTTGTTATTATTCCTAAGGTTTTCAGCGGCTAACCAATGCTCTGGTAGCGTAGTGGTTACGAATCGGGCTGCGAACCTTAAGGTCAGCGGTTCGAAACTACCAGCCGCTCCGCGGGAGAAAGATGAGGCTTTCTACTCCCGTAAGGATTTACACCCTTGGAAACCCTGTACAGGGTCGCTATGGGTTGGAACCGACTCGATGGCACTTAATAACAACAACAACAACCAATGAGAAGTGATTCGCCTCGCCTTCTTCCTAGTCTGTCTTTGTCTGGAAGCTCCGCTGAAACTGCTCGCTATGGGTGACCCTGCTGGTATTTAAAATGCCGGCAGCACAGCTTCCAGAATATAGCAACATGCAGGCCACCATAGTACGACACAGTGACGGATGAGTAATGGTCGTGTGTATGGTATGTGTATAGTGTGTATGGTATATGTATAGTGTGTATGGTATGTGTATAGTGTGTATGGTATGTGTATAGTGTGTGTGGTGTGTGTATGGTGTGTGTGGTGTGTGTATGGTGTGTGTGGTGTGTGTGGTGTGTGTATGGTGTGTGTGGTGTGTGTGGTGTGTGTATGGTGTGTGTGGTGTGGTGTGTGTATGGTGTGTGTGGTGTGTGTATAGTGTGTGTGGTATGTGTATAGTGTGTATGGTATGTGTATAGTGTGTGTGGTATGTGTATAGTGTGTATGGTATGTGTATAGTGTGTGTGGTATGTGTATAGTGTGTATGGTATGTGTATAGTGTATATGGTATGTGTATAGTGTGTATGGTATGTGTATAGTGTGCGTGGTGTGCAAGTGTGTGGTGCCCGTGGTGTGTATGGGGTGTGTGTGTGTGTGAAAGTCTAACCCAAACCTTGCAGCTGAAACTCTGGTCTATAGGTACAATAACTAGAATTTTGACCCCAGGATTCCAAGGAAAATGTCTTCCCTAAGCCTCTACCTCTTCACTGATTCTTTCTACAAGTTCTCACCCAGCTTGCAAAACTTGCATCCAAAAGAATAAAAGAGAACTTATTCTCCTATCCTTACATCACTGAGCACATCTGTGCTCCACTATACACACACAGCGATTTGGACATACTGCCGTGCTCAGTGGAAGGACCACAGAGCAGCCCACGGAGAGTACTAAGAGACTGAAGCTGAGCACATCCCTCTTCGAGATGCTCTGACTGATAACAGGAAGGGAAACCGCCCAGGCCATGGTTGTTGAGAGTTGCCCGTGGGTGGTCCCAGATTAAATAGTAACCCTACAGCATCTCTGCTCAGCGATAGGGCTGGGGAGACCCCATGATGAAATCGGGAACATGCTTTCATCCCAGTGAGGTCTCCATCTCATGGGACAACGGTGGTCATACCTCACCTCCCTGACATGGTGTGAGAGGCCCCCAGGTGTTCTCTGAGGCCCTGGGGAACACGGTTCCATTCATACCTTCATCTTCTACTCTGCAGAAAACTCCCATGTAACGTCTATTATTGTTGCTATTAAGTGCTGTTGAATTGGTTCTGACCCATGGTGGGTTTCCAAGGAGCAGCTGGTGTGCTTGAACCACCAACCTTGCCATTCAAACCAACTTGGCAGTCCAGTGTATTAACCCACAGTGCCAACTTAACCCAGAGGACTAGCTTCTCTCTCTCTTGATAGATAGATAGATAGACAGACAGACAGACAGACAGATAAGATGATAGATAGATAGATAGATAGATAGATAGATAGATAGATAGATGATAGATAGATAGATAGATAGAT